AGCAGCAGGGCTTGCCTTGGCTTCACCTGGAAAGCCAGAAGCCTCTGCAAATCACCAGGTTGCCAGGCTGCATCAGCTCCTGATGGTGCGTGAATCCTGCTAGCTCGGACCGTTTCCAAAAGGTTCTAAAGGCAGCAGTACAGACATACATGCAGAGCAACCAGCGTCCAATAAATGTGTAGAACTGTGGAGGTTTGTGTGGCATTATTAGGGCTGTCGTGCTGACGATGCCTCCTCCGCAGCGTGTGTGCCATGCCGTTGCTGGGCCAGCCTTGTCCCCAAGCTGTCACCCCCAGCCTCATTCCCTGGCTGCTGTTGCATCTCAAGGCACAGTTACCCAGGTTGCTGAGTTCCAGCTCTCAGGCTGGAGCACCAAGCCGCGCTGTTGCACATGAACTAATGGTCTGTCTGCACTGTGCTGGCAGAAACCACTTTTGCTGAGACATAGGATGTAGAAAGGAGAATAAAAAATCGGTTGGAAACTCTTGGGGCGGGGCAGGCTGCTAGAGCTTTCTGTTGCTTTCCTTTGAGGAAACAGCAGTGTTTTTGTGAATGGTGGGCAGAAAACAGTATGCATGGCTCTGGGGACTGTTTTGTAAGCAGTGCATGTTTGAAACTATTCCCTGATCTCTAGCCTAGAGGAAATTAGGGTCACCCAGCAACAGTTTAAAGCTTTGGGATTATGACACCGGTAAGGCGCAAATATGGGGTCTGTAGATCCAAAGGCATTCCTCATCTAATCAGACATTTCTTGAGAATTGTCCTGACTTTCAGTCTGACACGCAGAGGGAATTTGCATCAGGACAATATGCAGACTCCCAGATGTCAGATGTGGCATCTGACCAGCTGCTCTCTCCCCTACACTTGCTGGGCTCATGCCAGTAGTGGTCCTGGGGCTGGGAAACACCTGGACTTGTGTAGAGCCTTTCCAAAATGGCTGCCGAAAGCAGGCAAAGAAGAAAAGCCCAGATCTTTCTCCGTTCTTTGTAGTTTTTAACTGAGAAAGGAAATCACAAGTGGTTTAGGCAGGCACCTGCCGTTAATGCTCAAGAAATTATTCTTGGGAGGGAGAAAAATCCTGATTTCAATGGCAGAGGATAGGAAGGGGAAGGAAGCTTCCAAACTTTGGAAGGCTTGTGGTTGCTCTGTTTTCCTGAGCCTGCCTTCCTAAGGTGTGCCCACCAGCTGAGAGATTTGGTCTCGACCTCATAACTCCCTTTTGGCTGGGACTTGCCCATTGTGGCACACTGGTTTCCTCCTCCCACCAGCTTCTACACTGTGCCACATTGGGATTTAAGGTTCTTTTCCTTCTTTCTGTGTGTCCATTAGAGTGGGTTTGGTGGAAGCTTTTGTGGGGAATTGTTTACAGCAACCATGTGGGACATGCTGCATGTCATTTATAAAAAGAAAAAGCAAGCCCAGGAAAGAGAGGAGAGGAAAGCTGCTTTAGCTGTAGGGAAGACAATGAGCTCCAATGTAGGCACTGACTGCTAAGGAACAATTTCCATCTTCACGGCCAAGCTTCTCGTTCCTTAGTGGCAAAGCTGAACAAAAGGTAGACACAGCCTAGGCTATCTCTTCTGCACTGTGCCTCTCCAAGCCTTTGCCGCATCAGATGGGCCCCCGACATAGTCATCTCCACTCTGGGTGCTTTTCAAATGAGAACCAAGTAGGATCCAAGACTAGCTGAGGTTAGAAGGGACTGGTGAAGGTCATTTAGTCCAAATCTCCTGCCACTGCTGAGGACATCTTCAAGTAGATCAGGCTGCTCAGAGCCCAAGCCAACCTGGCCTTGAATGTTGCCAGCGGTGGGGCACCTCCCAGCTCTCTGGGCAGCCTATGCCAGTGTTCCAGCACTCTCCTCAAAAAGAGTTTCTTCCTTAGAGCCTATGTGAGTTCACTCTCTTTTAGTTTAAGACCATTCACCCCTGTTCTCTTGCGATTGGCCCTGCCAATAGATGTGTTCCCATCTTTCTTCTAAGCCCCTTCAAATATTGAAAGGTCTCCTTGGGGCTTGCCCTTCTGCAGGCTAAACAAGCCCAACTCTCCCAGCCATTCCTCAGAGGAGAGCTCCCACCTTCTGGTCATTTCTGAGGCCCTCTTTTGCTCTTGACTGGTGTATTCAGGTTTACCTGGTAGCAAAGGAACTGAAGTATTGCAGAGCTGGGGAAGGAGATCTGCTTCAAGTGGGGCTTGAAGAACACAACAAAAGCAGTCTCTGCCAAGCGGTTCTAGAGTGGTCTGTGGGAAGGTGGGGGCTGTGGGTGGGCTGACTGTGAGCATCAGGGGACACCCAGCATGTCCCTCCCACCCCACTCTTCGAGGTTTCTGCCAGCCACACAGGGACAGCTGAGCAGGATTTGTGCCAGCCCCATGTGCTGCCTGGCCCTCTCAAGTCGAGGAGGACCGCTGCAGCTTTGCTGCCACGTTTTGTGGCAGACAGGCAGCTGGCAACCGCACCACTTGCTTGCCTGTCCCTGCTGTGAAGGAAGATGCCAGCCTGCCCAGGAGGAGGGGGCCATGCCAAGGCAGACACTGCTCTCCTTGCAAGCCTGCGCTGACTCCATCTGCGCCCTGCCGCTTGCGTCTGTGTGATTCTGGGCACTAGAGGAATCCAGCTTGACCCTGTTAGAAGCTCCGTTTGGAAAATAGTGGTTCCTTTTCTCTTTGTCCCTTTTAATTTGGTTGATTTTGTTTCTTTTTCTCTTTGGGCAGCATCCATTTCTCAAGTTAGCAGAGCCTCTCTTCAGCCTCTTCTGAAAGCCTGATTGCTGTCATCCCTGCAGCAATGTAATGCAGGAAGCAGAGAAGATGACAAGGACCACTTCAGCACTTAGAGAATGGAGCCTCTGAGAACAGCAGAAATCCTGAGGAGAGAGAGGGCCCAGGAAACAGGCAGCCATCAGAGTCGGAAAGGAAGGTGGCATCTCCTTTTCTCCCATCAGCTGATCCTTCTTCTAAATTTCTGCTTCGGACAGCATTGCTGGATGGCACAAAGTCTCTATTAATGTGCAGATTTGAGGAAGGCAGGAGTGGCATTGTGGTCCTGAAGAGAATGGGAAGGGCAGAGCTGTGTCTCAGAAGGAGGGAGGTCCTACAGGAAGCCCCCTGCAGAGCCAGGCTGGAGCTGTGGGAGCAGGCTGGCTGTCAGGCTACTGAGGAGGTGCCTGAAGCTGCTGGGAACATTCTGTGCATTCTTTGTCTGATCGAGCAGTTTATGTTGTGTGTGCCTCAGCATGAGCTGTACCATGGGTTCCTCCTCACTTTGGAGTCACAGAGACATTTTGGACTCCTTACAGAAGCCATTGTTGTCCTTGGAGGCAGCCGGGGAGCACCTTGGGGCATTCCTTTTGCTTTTGAGGTCAGCTGGAATTGGGCGCGCTTTGCCTGAGCTTCCCTGTGCAGTAAAGGCAAAAGCAGGGATTGTTTCCTGAGCAGCAGAAGGCTGCAACCTAGTAAATGACCCAGTGTGGGCTCGTCTGGCCAAACTGAGCAGAACACTTGGCTTCCTAGATTTCCTGTAGACTCCTGACTTGTCAGAAGTCATTGGAGACAAAATTCTTCAGAGAAATTGAAATTGGCTGTGGGGCTGGCTTCATACTGGTCTTGTTTTCATGACTCTATTGCTTCTACTATTCCTTCCACAGATCACATGGGCCCCCACCATGTAAGTCTCCAATCGAGGTGCTTTTCAAATGAAAGCTAAGCCAAACTTGAACTGAAGCAATCAAGGAAGTGGAGCAGATGACCAGGAGCACTTCAGGACTACTTTCTCCAATGCCAGCTTGGAGCCAGCCTCAGAATAAAAATCCTACAAACCCTCAAGCCAGCTGGAAGATTCCCTTCCTTGTCACCCAGAGAAGAGTGCTCTATGTGCACTTCTCAATTGTCCATTCTTTCTTAAAGATGGAAAGTGTCTCCTGTGGCTGTTCCGATGTGGCTTGGAATTGGGAACAGTCTCCTTCCTTCATCAATTCCAACCTACACAGCCATTGGAATAGCGTCCACTCACCCAGTTTTGCCCAGCCATGGACTTCTGGATGAGGAAGAAAGGCATATGCATTTCCAGCCAAAAAGTGGTGAAGAGCAGGGCAGCCAAAACATCCTGTGGGGACACAGGTTTTCACCTGTGCACACAGAGGCCTTGGTTCCTGCCTGGTGCAGACAGCACATCTCCTCTGTGACTGCTCCCACTTCCCAGGTGGCCATGGCTAAGAGACACAAGGCTCTGCAGGTGGAACCAAAGAAGGAGGGCACACCTGCTGCCAGTACAGGAAGGGGGAGAGCAAAGAGCCTGGGAGGTGCCTGGCCAAAGAGGGACAGCAGCCACTGGACCAGCTCATTGTCGCAACAGAGAAGGACTGGTGGATGGCGCCATTCTTGGGGGCCATTTGGAGCTCAGCAATCATGAAAAGTCTCTGTGCTTGACTGGGTTTGTCCCTCTTTCTGTTCCTTCTGTTGTCCCAGTGCTC